CCAATCTAGTACTGAGGAGGAAGAGATGGGCAGATCCCCGGAGCTTGTTGGCCAGGCAGCCCTGGTTACTTGATGAGTGCCAGGCCAGTGAGAAACCCTCTCAAAAACCAAGGTGGACAGTGCCCAAGAAACTATATCCTAGGTTGTTCTTTGGCATCCACACTCCTGCATTCACATACATACCCCCTCCCAAAGAGAGGGGGAGAGAGAGAGAGAGAGAGAGAGAGAGAGAGAGAGAGAGAGAGAGAGATCTGGTTCTTATGGCTAACACACCTGTCCTGTGTCCTCTTCCCAGAGTGTGGCATTCACCTACTTCCTAAAGCCAGGAGTGAGATACAACCTCACCATGAACCAGTTCAGCAAGGCAGCTAGTAGCCATGAAACTTCGTGCCTAGCTTTTTTTTTTTTTTTTTTTTTTTTTTTGGTTTTTCGAGACAGGGTTTCTCTGTGTAGCTTTGGAGCCTGTCCTGGAACTCACTCTGTAGTCCAGGCTGGTCTCCAACTCACAGAGATCCGCCTGTCTCTGCCTTCCGAGTGCTGGGATTAAAGGCGTGTGCCACCACCACCTGGCATGTGCCTAGCTTTTAACAGGCTGAGTTCTGCAAACCAGCTCAAAGAAGGGCCAGAACAGCTACGCCACAAGGTGAGCTTCTGAGGAAGCCTCCCTCTCCATCCCCACTACAAACTCATTGATACGTGTAATTTCTGCAGGGCAAACACCCAGACACATCATCTTTGTTTGTTTGTTTTGAGGAGAGGTCACTACGTAGCCCCAGATGGCCCAGAACTCACAGAGATCCATCCACTTTTGCCTTCCAGTGCTGGGATTAGAGGTGTGCACCACCACCCCTAGCCCAGCCCATCATCTCCAGTAGAGTGACAGAGTTTGCTTTAGAAGGCTGTCGGGCTGGAGTCCCCCTGTATCTTCTACCCTACCTTGGAGCCCAAATGAAACTCCAAACTCTCAGCTTCTGCCAGCCCATCAACTCCAGCTGTTAAAATCAAATCTAAAATATTGTTGCTGAGATGTGTAAGATACAACTGGCTTTTAGTGAGATGTCTTGAATGCCCCTCGCTTTCTAGGGAGTCAGTTATGCCTGCATGTCTCATTTCAATTACTCATTTAAAACGCACCGAGTCAAACATCTATCACGACAGCTCTGGGAATTAGCATGCAGTTCCTATAACTTTGAAAAGCCATTGATCCCTGGGTGCTCAGAGCCGCAGCATGTCAGGTCTTTATAGCCGGGTTAACTCATTTTGTGGCTTTCTCAATGGCTGCAAGTTTACATTTTATTGCATATCTATTATTCGGGTTGGGCTGTGATGAATGGTTTGGCTGCCTGGTTCGAAACAAGTCCAAGGCAACCGCAGAATCTAATTTGCTTCAAAAAAATGATGATTATAAGGCTTTTCAAATAATAATCTAGGAATAGTAGGAGCCGATATCAGGGTGCCCTGCCTGAGATCTATGGCTGAAGCTGAAGGGACAGTGTGCCCCCTTTCCTACAGGGGCTCTTGTTTATATCGACCTTCACTTTTGTTTCTATCGACATTTAAGAAACCATCTGTCTGTCTTCAAGGGCAGTAGAGATGCTTGCATTTCTTCAGGAGCAAAACCAAGAGCTTGCTGTTTGGCTCCAGATTCATCCCCAGGATCGAGGATATACCATCGCTGGCCACATGAGTGGTGGTAAATAGCTGTATTAATTACTTTACTGACTGCTGTGACCAGCTGCCTGACAACAGCAACTTCAGGTTGGTTTTGGCTCACAGTTTGAGAGGATACAGGCCATCGTGGTGGGGGAGTCACAGCAGTAGGAATGTGAGGCAGCTGGTTATATTGTACCCACAGTCGGGAAGCAGAGAGAGATCAGTTCCGGTGCCCAGCTTGCCTTCCCCTTTTCAAGCTGTCTAGGACCTCAGCCCATGGATTGGTTCTGACCACGTCTAGTGGTGGGTCTTCCCATCTCAACTAACCCAATCTAGACACTCCCTCCCTACATGCCACAGGTGTGTCTTCAAGGTGATATAGAGCTCTCTGCAGAGGAGTTGGAGTTTAGGCAGCACGCATGAGAGCTGTCCCTGGAAAACATGCCACTTCCTGATTTGGAGAACAAGTCCGGCTGTCGTCCCTTCTGACGCTGCTTCCCTAGTCCATCTGAGTTCTGTGGGACTAGTGTTATCAAGGGAAGCAAATAGAGAGACTGGTGAACTGGGACCAACAGGGAGGGTCTCTTTTGTGCTATTCAGGTCAACACTTAGCATATGTCTCTCTGAATAATAATAATAATAATAATAATAATAATAATAAATACTCTTCCCCTTTTGGGTAGCCTTTATGTGGTTGTGGATATTGGAGGTGGTAAGATTTCCACCACTGTGGATTTAGAGCTTCTGACTGCTCAGGTATGTATTTACAAAGTTCCTGACCATTTAATAGTCAACTCCCTAAACATTTTAAAATTTCAAGATTTGTTTTTGCAAATAAGCTCTTGATGCTCCAAACAGGTATTTCTAGCAACAGGACAAGCTTACAAGTCACTCACACTTTATCATGAACTAGTATCAGCAGATACAGGTTTTACTAGTTAGCAAGAATGAGGATGCTAGAGACCAAACATAATCATAGTATATCAAACAAAACCTTGCAGTAGCAGTTGGCTGGTTACCCTGGACACCAAAGATGCTGTGAACTGGAAAGCCTTCTCTTTCCTCACAGAACCACAAAGGAACATGGGCAATTCCTGCAGAGAAACATCACTTGCTTCTCTCCTTTATGTCTTTCAAGTATATCTTTAATTTGCCACAAAACTTTTGCCAACAAGACAGAAGAACTGCCTCTTGGGAGTAACCAGAGTTCAAAGTGGTGTCACTATACTGCAAGGATACCTCTGTGAAGATGAAATTCCTGATGAGTACTAGGAGGAAAGATTCTAAATTCTGTGGCTTAGGATGGTCAGTGTCTTTAGGAGCTTGTACTGCCTCCCCAAGGCCAACACCTACCATCAGTTGCCTGGAGCTTGAACGCCCACAAGCATGTCACAGGGTTCACACACTACCTGCTCTAAGCAGACCAGAGTACCCTTGAATATAAATGGGATTCCCCTCTTTAGGGCAAAGCATGTTCTTCTGGTCTCTAGCATGTATCCAGCACACTAGCTGCCCTCCTCCAGTGTGGGCCCTGGTAGACTTCTCTGAGATTACCTCTCACATCAGCAAGCCCCACCCAGAGTTAGCTTGATGGACTCTCTAAGCAGGTCACTCCAGGTGTGGCACACACCAGGGAACCCAAGGAGGAGCCACTCAGGGCATGGCAGTGGAAAAGAAAATGAAAATAGCAAGCGTGAACATTATGATTAGCAAACTGACTTAGGAAACGGGAAGGTACACAAGGGTAGGAAGCTGCCTCCCATCTGAGACCACAGAGCTATGCGGGAGCCCACAACTGACTCAGTTTCCCAGTTTGAATCTGAAGTCTATTCTGAGTCAATAGAGTTCAAGCTTGTTTGCTCCAAGGCTGTGAGAAAGTTCTGACTGGCCCACAGAGTCTCCTTGAAGGGCTGTGAGAAAGTCTTCTTCATTGTCTCTTCAATGCGCACGCCTCTACCCAGCTACCCAGCTGACTGTCAGCCGGCCCGACAGAGCTAACACTGATCTACTGATGTCTGCTCTTGCAAACCTGCCCACCGCTTCCATTTCCCGAAGGAGGTGTGCATCTGCTCTTCTCCCTTGAGAAGTGACCACCACCAATATCCACTTAGACAGCAAGTCCTGTTTGCTAAAGATGTCTAAACTGTCTTAACTAGAAACCTGTACATTTCAGCTTCTGTAAAACTTGCTTAGTTCCAGTAAGTCTGCTTTGAGGTGGGGATAAAAAGACCACCCTAAGATAGTCACAAGATTATGACAATGTCTAACCTTACAAAATGTTTCTGATCAAGCCTGGGCCTCTTTGAGCAATAGCGAGAGGTTATAACAGCATGTTAACTATGAAGTTTTTTCCTGAGAATTGCTCTTTGAGGGAGGTTGAGAGTCCCCACTTCCACTCCAACAGGAATACTTACTGTCTGTGGCTTCTCTAGATAACCCGATACCTCTCTTGGGCATAGAGACTTTCTCCATTGCTCTTGGGCAGTTACTGGACCCAGCTTCTGCCTGGCCATGCCTCCAGCCCTTCCCTCAGAGTCTCCCTCCAAGCAGGGCTCTCCAGTGGAGTCCAGTTGCCTCCATGTTCAGTGATGTAGAACAGTTTCCCCTGAATTGAAACATTCTCTCCTGGAGTAATGAGGGAGGCTTATGACTCAGGAAGTAAACACAACAAGGCCAGGAAGCTCCTGAAACCCACAAGATTCACAGGATTCCCCCTTCCTTCAAGTTATCTAAGTAATGAAAATTGCATGGTAGGAGAGACTCCAATCAGTTGAGTTGCCTTCAAGTCCTGCTGAAGGTTGTTAACCTATGAGCTATTGCCCACACTACAGTGGGCCTTGCAGTAATACTGCCCCCTTTGAGTCACCCAGGCTCCTTTAAAGTAACTCCAATAACTCCTCTGGTTCACTAAGCTGGACTTGGGTGGAATCATTTCTGTGGTCTGTCACCGATGTCATATCTGAGGTAAATAAACATGTCTTCATGTCTCTCCAGGAAAAAAAAATCGCATGATATGCAGTCAAGGGAACTGTTGTTACAGCTCTGCTGTAGTTACAGCCCAAATCCCTCCATCAACGAGCAACATAGTTATTCAAAAGGCAGAAGGTTGGCAAGCCCTCTCCTTCCCACCCATCTGGTTTTGCCCCTTTCTTACAGCTCAGGCTTGTACAAAACAATCGACTTCTTTCACATCAAAGCCAAATCCACCTGGAAGACTGCTGAAGCCAGACTCACACGCCCTATGTACCTGCGGTCCAGGCTTCTGATGCCGCATCACTACCAAGGCATGGCAATATCTGAGGAAATCAGTCCCCACCCCCAAAGCACCGTGCAGAGGTCTCACTTACGGAAGGCCGTGTAGAACTCCCCGAGGGTCAAGGAGCCATCGCTGTTGTAGTCATCAAATTGCAGGAGATCACCTGGTGAGCATCCCTTCAGGGAACCGTCCAGGTCCTGTTCCTTTAGCACATACTGTGAGGTGAGGAGAGACAAAGCCTGAGTCACCAGCGAGCTCAGCATCATGGCTGCTGCTGGAAAATGCACCAGGTCTAGTGGGGACTCAGGGAAGCATAAAGGAAGGCCTTAGGGTGTGGGAATGGTTGAACCGTGAGTAAATGTGTGCTGTTGACATGACCATGGTCCCATCGAGGACCCCGATGCCCCAGACCCATGGGAATGGCAAGGCCTTTTCTAGGTTGGGCTTCCCCTGGGTCCATGTGCAGATGTTGACCATGTGTGCAGACCACAGCCTTCTCCTCCTGGATGGCTGCAGGCTGAACTTCTCCCCTCCAGAAACCCCTATCTGGATTAGCAAAACCCACTTCCTGGTTCAGCTGTATATAATGGACTTGCCTTCTCAATTCAGATGTATGAAGTACACTGGGTTTCTCAGCTGTGGCTTGTGTGTTTCCATGGGAGTGAATGACCCACCCAGTCCCAGTTTCTGTGTGTCTGCACGTCTGTCCTTCCTTCATTCCCTCATTTCCCCGTTGGGGCCATCCCAAAGCCATGCAGGTTGCGGCACTGGGGAGTATCCAGAGATCTCTGGTCTTGTCTGATTTGAATCCTCCATTTTATAGATAAGGAAAACGAGGTTCGGAGAAGGAAGTGCCAGGCCTCAGGGCCGTGATCTCCATGACTTGCAGGCAGAGCCAGGGGTTCTAAGTGAGGAAGAATCTTTGGGGTCACTTGTCTGTCACTTGTGCTGTTAATGGGGAAACAGACTAGAGAAGGGCTTGATACAGGAAGCCAGCTAACAGCTGACCTCAGGGTGGGACCCCAGGCTACGGTGTGTGAGGGTTAATTTTTATTGTCAGCCTGACTGGAGTTGGAATGATCTGGAAGATACCAGAGAGGTTTAAGTGAGGGGGAAGACCCTCCCTACACATGAGCTGGGGACCCAGACTGAATTAGGGGGTGGTGTTGTGAAACCTGACGAACACTGGCACTTATCGTCCTGATGGATGACACAGGGTGGCCAGCAGCCTCATACTCTTGTCACCATATTTTCTCACCACAATAGACTGCATCCCCTCAAACTGTAAGCCAGAAGGAAATACCTCTCTCCAAGTTGCTTCTTGGTAGGTATTATATCACAGTGATGAGAAAAGAACATGCAACATTTTATCATTGTATCCCCTCGATCACGCACCAGCCCTCACCACTGTTAAGAGAGTTTGCTTGCCACAGTGCATGCTCAGAAAGCAGTTGCTGACCAGATCTGTCTCAGTAGCGTTTCTGTTGCTGTGATAAAACATCCCGGCAAAGGCAACCGGGATAGAGTGCCACCGAGTCCTGGAAGCCGTGCCAGTGGCAGGGAAGGCATGCTGGCAAGCAGGGCGCTGGCTGTCAGATTACATCTCTGCTCAGGAAACACAGGGTAAATGCGAGGTGGGAACCAGGCTTTTAAGCCTCAAGCGCCCCCCACCCCCCACCCCCACCCCCGATGTATTTCCTTCAGCAAGGCTCTGTCTCCTAAAGGTTCCACGACCTTCCCAAACACCACCACCAGCTGGGGACTGTGTTCAGATACGCTGAGCCTGTGGGGGCATTTTACGTTCGAACCACAGGAAGACCTGAGTCTACCCTGCCTTCCATGTTCTTCCAGGGCCACAAATGTCACTCTTGAGTCAGGATTCTGATTTAGGAGCTATTGGTGGACTCTTGTGGATTCCTCTGTGGCTATGGTCTGACCCACAAGACGCAGAATCCCTGCCCCCACCACAACCAGACACACACTGAGGGTCGTATGGGTAGAAAGTCCACACACCCTCTCTTGGCTGAGTGCTGAGAGCCACAGGCTGGGCAAGGGAGGTGCTGCAAGGGAAACCGAGTGAGAGGAAATGGTTTTATTTTATTTTGGGGGGTGGAGGTAGAGGCATTTTTCTCTTTGTTTAACATTCCCAGCTTGGTCTGCTATATTAAAGGCAATTTAATGTGATAATGTTAAAAAAAAAAATGACCCTTCACCCAGCAAGTGAGCGTGTTCGATAAAAAGGAGATCAACCATGACGCCTCAGATCAATCTTCCGAAGATGGAAATTTCCCTTTGTCTATTTCTACATTGGAAATTGATTAACTTTTCATAGGACCGACGAGTTCTTCCCTCCGGCGCCTTTGACTCAGTGTCAAGGCAAGGCCCATATTAGCTGGGCTCTGCTTGGCGGATTTATGAGATGGGCTTTAAACATATTAAAATTTAAAGAGGAAATCATAGTCCAATTACCATGCTTGTTAATGGCATCAGGTGCCTCTGGCCACGTCTCTGCCAGGTTAGAGCAATGAACCCAAGAAGGTCTGTTGGGAGTCACATGGGTCTAGGTACCAGGTGCTCACAGCTGCGTCTGCCCAGGGCCATCTGATGTCACTTGCCCCCCTGTGCTTCCTGCTCAGCCTGCAGTATGAGGAATGACAGGTGGGGTGTGTTCCTGCAGATAGTCATAATCAACAAGACTTCTGGGCTTTCCCAGAGTCATTCTCGTCATATGAGGGCTCCCTGTCCTGCTCCTTGGGGTTCAGCTAGAGCTGAGGGCTGACTATCACTGACAGAGTAGCCATATACAGGCATGATGACACCATGCCATCTGTGGGTAGCAGGCTTCCTAGGACGCTTGGGTTTGTGTGGTGAGTGTCATAGAGTCACTGGTGACTTGATTCCCTAGAGCCTCAGCTTCCTCCTCTACAAACGTCTGTGAAGTGGGACAGTAGGGGTCCTGACCCATCCTGGCCAGAGGATGCTGAAGGATGAAGGGGGGGGACAGTGAGGTCAATGATGACAATGCTGCTGCCCACTGGGAACATCCCATGTGCCGAGTACAATGCTAAACACATCACGTGTCTTCCTGTCTCAGCACCATTAACTCTCGTGATGACCCTGCGAGGTTCACAGCTGAGGAATGGTGGCCTGGGAGTGAGGTACCTCCTGAGACTCACTAGCTCGTGAGCGCTGGCAGCAGACCTTGACCGCAGGCTGCTTGGATTTGAAGCTTGCATTCTTAGCAGCTGTCACTCCGTAAAAGCAAAAGGGTGGTCTTTATCCACCACGGGCAAAGGGCCTGCTCAAAGATCTGGCTATTGACTTGGTTGTTGTTGCTGAGCATGTGTGCATCTGCATGCTTGCACGTGAGTGCTGCACAGGCATGCGTGCGCCCACAGAAGCCTTTTTGGACTACTCTCAACACTATTAGAGCAGGTCCTCTCACTGAAGCCAGAGCTTGCTCTGGGCTGCTGTCTTTGTTTCTTTTATACCGACCGAGTTTCCAGGTTGACGCCACACCCGCCTGGCTTTTACAAGGTTTCTTGGGCATCCAAACTCTGGTCTGAACACTCACAGAGCAGATGTGCCTGACCTGCTGAGCCACTGCCCCAGCCTCCGGGCTACCATTTTGCCAAGGTCCATGTGTCATGGTTAAGAGTCCCCTAAGTTGGCATCAAAGGTGAGACTGCATCCCTGTCCCCTCTCCTCTGGGTGAGCACTCTGAGGTCCCTGGGGCAGAGTGGTCTCCATGGACCACTCATTTGGAAAAGCTGTACCCATTTCTTTGCTTATATCTACTTCGGCTGGACTAGAACAACACAGCCCTTCTGTCCCATGCCTGTCTTCCTGCCGCCACAACCCTCCAGACCTTCCCTGGCAGTGGCCTTGACAGTGACCCCAGGGAGTGACATTGCTCTCTCTTGCTTCTTTTGTGATGTAGACATTAACTGCCCAGGCACCTCCTTAAAGTTAGAGTGATAACTTCTAACCTACAGCCAGCCTTTGGAGAAGAGGCAAACCTGGGCTGGGCTGCACAGGCACTCACAGGTGAGTGCCATGGAGGGGTGGACACAGGGCTCCCCACAAGGAAAACAGCTGGCGGGTTGGGCCATTGGTATTTGGATACTAAAGTGCAGCACTGTCACCGGGCAGAGGCCCTGGGGGCGCGCAGGTTGGAGTGCCAAAGACACTCACGGTAACAAATACTGCTCCCCTTTGACATTTCCGCTGTGGAACATGACAGGCTCCCGGTGTCCAAGGCTGACTTTCTGAAGAAAACACCAGTGGGCAGCCCCTCTGAGGGAGGCTTTGCCTGCGAGCTGAGGAAGCATCCAAACCGGTTTGTAACTATAGGCTGGGGCAGCAGGCGGCAGGGAGACACGGGCAGCATTTTGTGTGTAAGACATTCTCAGAGGAGCTGACAACAAGCTGTGAATCCTGGGAAGGATAGGAGAGGGGGCCCCCTGGCAACCCGTGACAGAGACAGTCACAAACAACTGTCTCTGCCCAGGAATGTTTCTTCACCACAGGCGCCTACAGGATCTCTCCACAGTCCCTACTGAAGGCCATACCCACCTGAGCCAGCTCCAAGCTGCTGAGGTGGCCGTTGCCATCAGTATCCAACTCCTTAAACAGTGACTCCACCAAGAGGCGCTTCTGGGAGGCGAGGTTCTGCCTGTTGGTTCCCTGCTGGAGCGGCTGTCTGCGGCTCTGGAGTGCCAGAAGGACGTTTTTGAGCCGAGCATAGCCAGCCATGCCGCACGTGTCACCTGGAAAGAGAAGACGGGGTTGTGACGTCACACGGACCCTGTAGACTTGAGAGAATGTTCCACCCACCAAGCCATTCATCCTTCTCATTCATACGCAGTTGCTGGGACATTTCCAGTGTACGGTAAACAGTGGCACTGCCATGGAGGGGGCTTGCTGGTCCATCTGCCCACCCATCCAGCCTACTGATATTTAAGTGGGTGCCTATGTGAGTCAGATGGAATGGGGGAAGTTCTTCCAGCGGAATTGGCAACTGTTGTCCCACAGTGCGAGGAAAGCCAGCCCCAATTTTATTCTGTCACAGTTTGCCTTTTGTCTTAATCCCATCTTAAAGGCTGCTTTTGAATCCTTGGCCTCATAGATTAGGGAGTTTTAGTTAACAGGGCTAATAATCCCTGCTTAAGGTAATTAGGTACACTCCCAGAGCTGGGTTATTTGAAAACAAACATGTGTACACAAGTCCATGACCAAGAAACAAAAGGAAGCTTTAGGAGATTAAGCCAGAACGCACAGCCCATTACTCTTAGGCCTTTTATCAGGGGCGCGCTTGCTGAACGCACAGCATTGCACGGTGCTTTGGCAAATGAGGCCTGTGATGCACTGCGACATGACATCGTTTATCTTGCTGGTGACGGGGCCACCACACATGGTGTGAGCCAGGAAGCCGGGGCTGCAGGGATGTCACTGAGCAGTGTTCCTCCAGCCCTGCGTCCCGCCTCCCCCTGGGGACACCAAACACTGCCTGAGCCTGGCCTTGTTGAGTCTGGTGAGTGCTGGTGTGGGCTCCCCACCCTCCATTCTAAATGGAAGATCAGTGGGTGCTGGGGATAGACTGTCTGGAGTCTATTATTATTATTATTATTTTGGTTTTTCGAGACAAGAGTTTCTCTGAAACAGTCCTGGCTGTCCTGGAACTCACTTTGTAGACCAGGCTGGCCTCAGACTCACAGACATCCGCCTGCCTCTGCCTCCGGAGTGCTGGAATTAAAGGTGTGTACCACCACTGCCCAGCCCCCTGAATTTTAACATCAGTTGAAAGTGCCAGGTTAACCTCTCAGGACCAGATAGTGAACAGGCTTGAGTTTTTGGACCACTGGGTTTGTGAGTCCAAGCTCTGCTGCTTCCACATTGTGTAACCTGGGACAAGGGGCCTCAGTGATTTCATCTGAGAAATGGGATAATAGTGCATCCCACATAGGGGTATTATGAGGGTTAATTAACATCGTCACACGTATCTTTACTCTGAACCAACACTCAGTGATTGGTAGCCACTCTCCCACTTTCAGTTGTTGGAACCATGATGAGGAGAACCCAGATTCACAGGCGCTCCTCAGTGGGAAAGGGGTGAGGAGCTGTTTCTGTCTCCTGCCCTCCTTCTCTCATTGGAGAAGCCCAGGTGGCTGAAACACTTTTTCTTGCACTTGTTTGTGTTTCTAGATTTTCTTCCAATTTGGGGTCAATTGATTCTCGTCAGAAACAAATGCCTGTTACTATTTCCTTTGTGTGTTTATTTAGAAGAAAAAAAATCAATTGCTGTGTTCAATATAATCAAATCCATTTGTTCCCTGGGAGTCGCCATGCTCTGACAGAAGGGTCCTCTCCCATCCCCAGACCTGCTCACATCCCTCTCTTGCCTGGTAGGTGATCCATTCTCAAGAGTTCCTGGGACCCATAGACATACCCCGTTTTTAAACCTACATGGCTGTGGAGTATTGAGCATCACCTCCATGGCCTGGTCTCATGACAGAGCCAATATGGCTGGGAAGAATGTGTCTGGTGGCTGGAGTTTTCTTCTCAAAAAACTATTTTGGGGAAAGAGTAGGATGGTCTTGCCTGAGTCTAGCCCATCACCTCTTACCAAAGAGGGTGAAATCTGTGCTGGCAAATGGAGCAGAAATAAGGGAACAGAGTGGGAATGGAGGGGTAGCTGTTTAGCTGCTGGGTGGGTGCTGGCAGACATGTCCACGTGGAGGCTGTGCATAAACTGGAGGGACTGTCAGGTTTCCCGGGGACAGGCACCTGCACCAGATGCTGGGAAGCTGGCATCCACAGTGACTAGAGTGGTGTCAACAGAAGGCCTCCTTCAGACATGCTAGTGAGAGGTGAGCATCCTGCGAACCTGTGACAGCAGGGTTCCCTGGAGGTTAGAGTAGGCAGGTCAGATGGGTAGTGAGATCTTACGCTTGCTGTTCCCCCAACCTTCTCAGAGCTTCTTGGAGCTGCCTGTTGCCCTGTACCAAGGGTCTATAGCTAGACACTCTCCAACATAGGCAGCTGGGGAGACCACGAGGTGGTTCTGATGAGGTGGAGCTAGGGGCTGTGGTAACATCTCAGGGTTTGCTCTCCTGCCGAATCTTGCGATGCTGCAGGCTGGGGATACGACTTAATTTTCAGAGTGCTTGCTTAGCATGCAAGAAGCCTTGGCTTCAGTTCCCAGCACTGCATAAAACTGGGAGTGGTGATACATGCCTGTTACGCTGGAGCTTCCTAGGTGGAGGCAGGAGGATCAGAAGTTCAAGGCCATCCTCAGCTAAGTGGCAAGTTTGAGGCCAGTCTGGGTTATCTGAGACCCTGTCTCAAAAAAAAATTTTTTTTCTGAGCACCCAGGGGCTTCTGCTGTGTGTCTAAGAGCCAAGCTGGGGGCCCAGTTGAGTGCCCCAAGTCTCCAGGATCAGTGTCCTATGTTGACCAGTCATATTTCTCCCAGCTGTGTAGCAGTATGTATTGACATTCTATGTGTGTGTGCTAAGCCTTTAAGAATGTCTTAAGGAGTAGGAGATCAGTTAAGGGGAGGGGCGGGAAGCTGTGCAGAGGCTCAGACCTGCAGTGTGAGGACAGTGTGAGCTACAGAAGGAGGCTGAGGGAACAGCAAGTTGTGCAGGGCACACCCAGAGCACCTGGAGACCAGTGGAGCTAGAGAGTCACTCATAGGTCTGTGGACAACATCAAAGCAGGAGGGGGTGGTTGGTCCATCTCAGAAGCACGGAGAGGCCATAGGCTAGTGTAGGAGCTAGGGCAGGGATCCAGACACAGAAACCTGATATTCCCATCTCCTGTGCTTTCTTTCCTTTCCTGGGCATCACCCCTGTCTGGCCTCTGCAGTGCTGGGGACTGAACCCAGGGCCTTGCGAGCGCTAGGCAAGTATGTATTCTACTACTGAGTTACACCCCCAGTCTCTGGCAGGGAGTCTTTGATCTCTCTTTATCACCAGAGCAGCCATGCTTCCAATGAGTGGCATGGAGAACTCCAGTGAAACTCAAATCATTAAGTCACCTGTCTAGAGTCACTGAACTCTTCTGTCCTGTTCCCTCACCCCACACATTGGGAAGATCTGAGGACACAGCAGAAAGCCACCCAGGTGTAGGGATTTAGGCACCAATGGAGTCCATCACTTCAGAGTCTGCGGTCTAGCCTCTCCTCCTGGGGACACACTTGATGCTTCCACAAATGCCTTCTGGTGGCTCTGTGCCACCATTCCATGTTATCTGCCAGTCTTCTAGTTCAGTCTCAGGGTGAGCTTTCCTCCCTAATCCAGGCTTGACCCCAGATGTCTGTCTTCCCAGGAGAGCTCACTGTGACCTAGGTTTAGTGTACACTTCATGCTGTCCCCTTTCATGGAGATAGACAGGAGTGGCCCAGGTACACAGGACAAAATGCACACTTTTGCATCTGCCAGACCTGTCTACCTGAGGCTCCAAATCCTGTTTCCAGTTCAAACCATTTAGTTTATTGTGTACCGACCTAAGTTCCATCCCTGGAACCCGTGTAAAGGTGGAAAGAGAGAAGCGACTCCGTGAAGCTGTCCCCTGACTTCTGCATGATAAAAGAACAATGTGCCAACTGAAGAGATAAGCAGATAACCATGTGGACGAATAAATAAAATCAAGCCAGGGGTGGTAATCACAACACTCAGGAGTCAGAAGCAGGAGGATCACCCCAAGTTTGAGGCCAGCCTGAGTTAAAGAGTTTCTGGCCAGCCAGGGATAGAGTGAGAGACACTACTCAAAAGGCAACAAACCAAAACAGAACAAGATGAACAAAACCAATCATCTATATTCATTTAGTGTGTGCAGCTGATGCCAACCCAGCTGGCTGGAGGCTAAGGCAGCCTCTGCCTAGGGTTCCAGGAAGGGAGGGCATGTGACATCCCTGGACCAGAGCAGGGTCCAGCATTAGTCTGGGCTTCAGCACACTTGGCTCCTGGAAGGAGAAGGTTCCTGGAGGGTGTGTGGCAGAGGCTTGGGTACTCACAACACACCCATCTCTAGTCCATTTCCAAGGCTTCTTGGGCTAGCCTGGGGCAAGGGAAATTCAGAACACAAATGTTACAGGCTGCTGAACTTGGCCTGTGGGATGTTTCATCTCCACTGTCAAAATGACAGAATTTAGGATCACTTAGGAGAGACACTTATGAGGATGTATGTGAGGGAGTTTCCAAAGAGGTAGCCCTCTGAATATGGGCAGCACCGTCCCATGTGCTGGGGCCTAAATAAAAAGGAAAAAAGGAGGAAGCCAGCTGAGTACCAGCATCCATGTCTTTCTGCAATGTGGATACAGTGTGACTGGTACCTCATGCTCCTGTCCCCATGCCTTCCCCACCATGACAAGCTGTACCCTTCAAACTGTGAGCCCCAATCATTTTGTTCTTAAGTCAGTTTTGTCTCAGCAATGAGAAAAGCAGCTAATACAACCAACACCAACATCACTAATGAGCACTGCCTAAGGGAGCCTGAGGACCACCTAAGCTTGATGGGGTGGGGGGCCCTAGGCACCTTAACATCTTATAGCATGGTGTCGAAACAGGAACGGTGAAAGGACTTTGCTAGTGCATGTGGCCATCTGGCCTGAGGTATCCTTTTGATGACACTGGCAGGCTGCCCCCAGAGGAGAGATGGAGCTCATTCATTTTTGTCTCCTTCACTGAAGTAGCTGACAACTAACTCTATACATGTAGTCCCATGGAATGAGGAAGCCATCTTGGATTTTTTCCCCTCCATTCCT